CTGTTTTATACTGGCCCTGTTTTGTTAAAGGACACACTTGACCCAATAATATACCACAACTTCCTTTTACTTTTCGTCGGGCTATTTATCTTATCCAGCAAAGGCCTGGTTAAAAGTTATCTTGCTTATGCTGGAAACATTTTAGTTTTATTTGTTAACCATTTTCAGGGGCTCTATGGTGAAAAATTCATGTCCTACAATGTACACAATCTTGTGCACTTGGCACAAGATGTTAAAGTGCATGGTGTACTTGAAAATTTCAGTGCCTTTAAATATGAGTCATTTCTTTATATGATTAAGAGGCTTATTCGAAAACCGGGCAGCCCACTCAGTCAGCTGGTGAGAAGACTGTCAGAGAGGCCCCAAATTACAGCTAAGGGCAGGAATCGAATTGGTTTGTTCAAGCAACATTATTCTGGACCTCTTCCCCAATTATTCCTGCCTGTTAATCAGTTTCAGGAAGTGAGAACAGAAAATTCTTCTTTAAAATTAGATGTTGCCAACAGGTATGTTTACCTAGATAACAAAGTTTCCAGAGTGCTAAATATTTTCACGCAAGGTAACAATACATTCATTGCTTACTGCCTATTTCTCCAACAAGATCCGTTCTTTGAATACCCACTTACATCCACCACTCTTGGAATTTACTTATTGGGCAAGCTCTCGGAGACAACTGAATTCTGCAAATTGTCAGACATTCGACAAAAAGCATTCGTTATGCCGTACAAGAACAAATTAATCTCTGTTCCGCTACTACACACAAGCTAAAAAAAACCCCATTAGAATTTTTTCCCCCATTCTTTTCTTCTATTTTGTAAGTGACAGTACCTGTTCCCTGTGTGCTAGGAATGTACCTACTTCTTGAATTTGTGGATGAGGGGACTACAAGTCCAGTAGCAGCAGAATGGTACAGAGATGGACTCTCATGGTGGCCTCCCCACACGGAAAAGGCTAAACTACTTCGGTGTGTCCGAGCAAAGGAGACACCAAACGAATGTGCAGGATGGACACAGCACAGGGCTCGGGTCCTTTACCAGTCAGGTACTCCATTTGAATTGCATAGAATAAAGTGATAAAATGTGAAATGTTCCTGATAAAATGTGAATGTTACCTACTGATGGGGCCTTTCAAATAAAATGTATATTTTGTCACATGCGTGCCATTGTGCTTTAATTATGATCGTCACAAAACATGAAGTATCAAGTTAAAAACATGATTATGACCAGTCGAATATTGAAAACATTTACTTATGAATAAGGGGCATCTAACTTGAAATATTTGCCAGGATGGGGATGTTTTTGTCAGTATAAGCTTACTAAAACTTACCAGGGTACATATTCTTGCTCTTAATCTGACTCCGTATTCTTGCTCTTAATGTATAGATTCTCTGGACAAGGTTGTTCGAAAATGGAGCACATCTTGTGATACTTCGGATTTAAATTCTGATCAGGAATCATGCAGGAAATCCAAGTAAGTAAAGAAGTTTGTCACACATGACAATTTTGATGTATTGGGTTAATTTGCAGAACTAAATTTGTTGTTTTGTTGATGTACTTCCAGACCTAAAAAGCAATTTGAATTGTTGGACAGTTCTCCACTGAGGAAACGTCCCTCGGCTTACTCTCAGAGCGGGAATACTTTTAACAGAAAGAGGAAATTATCGTTCCTGCCACCACCACCAACACCTCCACCAGCACATCAACCTTGTCTCACACACCACTTCCAAGGTACAAAGACGAACATCATTTTACTGAATTACTCGGTTACATAATCCAAATGCTTACCACTGTTTTGTTTCTGTTTTATCCTCAACAAAAGCAGATCTAGTTTCTCCGGGACCATCCAAAACACTGAATAGTTACCCAGAGACTGAGGGAGAATCACTGGAATACACCAACATGCAAACATTCAGGGAACAAAGTTAGTAACATAAACTGCATAACTTAAGTTTTTTTTTTTAACACAGTAGAAAATGTGCACATAAGATGCGTGCAATGATATGGTAATCTGTTTCATGTGTGCGCTTGCACAGGAATTAAACACTGA